TCAATATTTTCTCTGTTTATCATGATGTTGCTTATTGGTCCAGTTGTGAGGATTTTGTTTTCTTTATGCTGAAGTGTAATCCATACTGAAAATCTTGAAAGCTTTATTCCATCCACATCATTAAGGTTGTCTCTAATTTGAGGAGGCAACAACTTCCCCAGTCGTATTTTGAGTGCCTTCCAACCTGAGGGCTCATCTTCCAGTACTGTATCAGACAATGTTCAGCTGCAATCCATAAGGTTTTCACTGGCTTTTTTGGGGGGTGGGGAGGAGTAGATCACCAGGTCCTTCTTCCTAGTCTGTCTTAGCCTGGAAGCTCTGCTGAAAACTGTCCACCATGGGTGACTCTGCTGGTATTTGAAATACTGGTGGCATAGCTCACAGCATCATAGCAACACACAAGCTACCACAGCATGACACACTGACAGACAAGTGGTGGCCTTACAATCTAGGACCATGGCAACCCAACAAGAGGATCCAGGTGATTGAACTAGAATTAAGTTTGAATCCCCTAAACTCTTTCGGTGCCTGGTTGCCACCAAGAGGTGAACTAACTAGGCCGGCGGGGGGTTGCTGTTAGGAGAAAGAAAGATGCTTCATGTCCAGGAATGGTCAGGGAAGAATCTTGAATTTTCAAAATACGTTTATAAGGCCCCTTACCCCTTTTGTTCTGATCATTACCCAGAAGGGAGAAGACATGGGATAATTCTTTTCTGAGGATGGTTCCACTCAGTGACCAAACTGCTTTACTAAGATGTGTGGACCAGGAGCTGGTGAAGAAGGTAGACAGTTTTTGAGAAGGCTGTTAAAATGCTCAAAAATACGAGATGACTGTTGATGATAGGGATCATGAAAGGTCCATTGAATACCTTGACTAACACTCATTGTTGAGTAGCTTTTGTGCTATAAGATGTGCCATTGTCAGGCTACAAATGGTCCAGAAAGCTGAATACATGACTTAGGTTAATCTCATGGCCTATACTTCTGTGAGTGTAATCAGCTGATTGGACTGGAACAGCAATTATATAACTTTGAAAAGATGATATCAAAGATTTAATGTTGTCAATCTGCCAGTAGTGTGGGGATAATGCCCTGCGTGATGTGTACTCATTCACCCCGAGACAAATGGACCAACTTTGGCAGTAGTCATGCGGTGTTAGCCTCTGCATTAGAAATGTAGTGTCCTTTACTTTGTGCTGTGTCTAATAATGGTGGATGTGTTGCCATGATGATGGATCCAGGCAGCAGTGGTGGCAGTCTGGATGATTCTAGCTCCATCAGCAGTTTGCTTTCGGTCTTTCTCATCAGAGAATAGAACCTTACCATGAGCATCTACATGAATGACTTAGATGGTTCAGTCAGTAGCCATGATTTGTTTCCATAGTTTGTGGACCCAGAAAGGAATGACTTTAATCTGCTATTGTGTGATTTTTAAGTGGAAAACCAAGCAGGTAGGGAATTGACAACAGCCCCAAGAGTCAGTAAAAGTATAACAAAGTTCATCAAAGGGAGTATTGGCCAGAGCCATGAGAATGCCCACTGAGTGGAGTGACTGTGTCCATTCTTAGTCCTTCATAGCTTGTGCTGAGGCTGAACAGCCACAGCATCTCAGTGAAGATCACTGGGTTTCATCAGTGAACCAGGAATTTAGAGAAGCCTCTGTGAACTGAAGGTCCCATTGAGTCAGTGACTTTGCTTCAGGTGACAGAGTGGGGGATAAAGTTTTCTTCAGAGGGATCATTGCCATTTTTTCACATAAAGCTGGGCTGTCTCTGGGGTCAGGCTGGCTGTGTTCTTGAATGTACCATTTCCATTTAAAAAATGAGACTTGTTAGGCCCTTTACACCCTTAGAGTCATTGAGTGCAAATTGACCCACCCCAAAATGATTATCAGGTTGGAGAGTCACAAGGCCTCCATGGGTCAGGCATTCAATTTCAGCAAGAGCTCAGTAACAAGCTAATAGCTGCTTTTGGAAAGATGTGTTCCTGGTAAACATGTTAGGGAGGCAATGAGTCCAAAACCACAAAGTTCACCTCCAGGTGGAGATTGCCTCTCTTTTACAGAGGCTCAAAATCATCCGGCACAGAGACTTGTAGCTCAAAGGTGTCATTAGGGTTGTTGGGTCCCAAAGGTACTAGCAGTTCTCCACTGGGGGCCCTTCCCGATTGGGATAATCCCTTCTGGCGCTTATGAGCATTTGGAGTACGGGCATGTAACACATCAACACCAATTACCATAAAGCAGTGTAAGCCACAGTAATAGTATATTGTTAGCTTTCCTTCCCCACTTCAAACTCTGTCCAAACCCTATGAGTTGAATCCATACATCCCCTCCCCACTAAAGGACTGAGTAGGATGGTGACTTTGGCACCCCATATGTAACAAAGCCATAAAAGTTTGGGTCTCCCATCACTCCTTGGACAGATGCATGTGGCCTTTGATCCCCCTTGGGGACAGGGAGACCTGTCTTACACCTAATCTTGTTTGTCTTAAAGCAGCTGAGGTCAGGTATAGAGGGTGGGAGGAATCAAGGGTACAGGTGGAGAGAGTGGCTCTGCATCAGTTAGAAATACTTTGAGTTTGAGAGGTATGGTAGCAGCATGCTGATCAACCAAACAAACCACTGATGCTTTCTGTTCACATAAAGCCCTGTATTGGGCAACAAAGTCATCATTATTATCATAATATAGTTCAGTTTTGGGAACCTCTTGATTTAGCAACCGCAGCCCACATTGCTATTCAACTGGAGCTGTAGGGTTTTTTGGTTGACTTGGGCTTGCAGCAGAGACTTTTTATAAAGGAGTCTCCCTTAATCCAAGTCATTTGCTGCTCCATGTCAAGAGAATACCTTTTAAATTTTCACCTGGTTTCAAGGGTTAGAGAAGTTTTCCAGAGCTGAGGATCTACTGCAAGAATTTGTCTTAAATTCTTTGGGACCATTTCTCATTCTTCAGTGGATCACCCTCATTAACACTGTAAATCCTAACCTGGGTAGTAAAACATGAATATGACTCAATGATTCATCTATGGTTTCCCATGGGAGTTTGTCTGTCTCAGGAAAATCTCTGTGAGTGGGCCAAAGCTTCCTTACAGCAGCCAGACCCCACTGCAAAAAGTTCAGACTTTTTACTGTCATTTCCAAATGGATTTAAGGCTGGCTTGATTGACTGCAGAGGCCCTGGGTGGTGCAAATGGTTAACATCATCGGCTGCTAACCAAAAGGTTAGAGTTTTGAGTGCACCCAGAGGTGCCTTGAAAGAAAGGCCTGGTGATCTACTTGTGAAAAATCAGCCACTGAAAACCCTATGGATCAAAAGGGGGAAATGTAGAATAGGATTTCAAACTCTCAAGGACTCCAGACTTTCTAGAGCCATGTAGGCTGGAAGAACCCCTGAAACTATTGCCCTGAGATAATCTTTAACCCTTAAACCAAAAATATCCCCTGAAGTCTTCTTAAAACCAAACAATAGTTTATCTTAACTAGTAAAGAATGTCTGCCTTGAGCATTGTGTTCTTTCAGGTTCTATTGATACAGGATCAAATTGACAACAGCAACTTGAAAGATTAGGTAGAAAACTTAGGGGGCAGCGAGTTTATGTTAATGGAGGAGGAATAACTCAGAGAAGGAAGGTGAGGATGGTTACACATCTCGAAGAATGTAATCTGTAATCGATGTCACTGAATTGTATACGTAGAAACCATTGAATTAGTATATGTTTTGCTGTGTATATTCTCAATAACAACAACAAAATAAATTTAAAAAAAAGAAAACCCTATGGGGCACAGTTCTATTCTGATACACATGGGGTCACCATGAATTGGAGTAAACTCTACGGCAACTGCAGGAGGACCTGCAGGAGGGGTAAAATGTCCCAGCTGTTGCCATTCATCTTATCAAGCATTATGTGCCCTGCCCCTCATCTTCCACGCAGATCAGTCCAAGTTTCTACTTATACCAAAATAAACAAACCCGTTGCAAATGAGTAGATTTCCAACTCATAGTGACCCTATAGAGACCCTATAGGACAGAGTAGAACTGCCCCATAGGGTTTCCAAGGAGTGGCTGGTGGATTCGAACTGCTAACCTTTTGGTTAGCAGCTGAACTCTTAACCACTGCACCACCAGGGCTCCTTCTGCCGTGTTATAGTTGTTATTAGGTGCCGTCAAGTTGGCTCTGACTCACAGCGACCCTATAGGACAGAATAGAACTGCCCCATAGGGTTTCCGAGGAGCAGCTGGTCAATTTGAACTGCTGGTTAGCAGCTGAACTCTTAACTACTACGCCACCAGGGCTCCTTCTGCCCGTAGAGGTCACAAATTTCCCTCCATTCAAGCTCAGTGTAGGTGCTCCTGTCTGTTGTCTGAAAGGGGGCGGAAACTTTCTGCCTCCTCCCACTCCCAGAATGAATCTTAGTGCTAATTGTTGCGATGGCGGCTGAGCACCAGATTGGCAAGAAAGTGCCCTTCACCTGGGGGAGTATTAACAAGAAGCAGGACACCTTTCATCAGGCAGCTGTCTTTGAATCTACCTCCCAGTACTTGACCTGGAGCTACCTCCTCAATTTCTCCTTGTTAATAGGAACTGGAGGACCATTTATTGCTCTTTGAAACACGAAGGGTGGTAAAAACTTTGTAAGCATGAAAAACAGTAGAGAGTTATCAGAAGTACAGAACATTGATCAAATGAAGTGTCAGTCATGGATCATACCTGTTCTGCAACAGTGTAAATAGCATGATAAAAAAAAAAATTAAAATAGAGTGAACAAAGTTCCTGAGCCACACTTTATTCCAACCAGGGTTTGAAATTTCTGTGCACGTACTGTCCACACGATGAGTGCCGATCTCGCTTAGTATTTAACTCCTCTTATGTGAAAATTGAGACAAATTCTTTGAATTTATGTAATAGAGTTATTTCTTTTTCTTAACTAAATAATAGATGTTACATACTTGTTCCTGGAGGCTAATGCTTATTTCATCTTTTTTGCTTCGTGTCTAACAGAAGGGAGATGGGATGATCGATAAAGCCGAGCTGCAGGAAGCTTGTGACCAGGCTAACCTGCATTTAGATGAAAAACTCCTGGACCAGCTATTTAACTACTGTGATGTGGATAAAGATGGCATGATTAACTACTTAGAATTTGCAAATTTTCTTAACTGGAAAGACAAACTACCTCTTAAAGAGTATGAAGAGAGGGTCATTATTAAAGGTATTTAAGTTTTGAAGGTTTGCTGAATTCTTAAATGGACTTCTATATTGTCATTTTTTTAGTTCAACTTTTGTCAACTTTTTATTATATCAAAAACAAAAAATGTACACATACATATAAATGTACATTTATTTATGGTTAATGATACAGGAAGATAATATGCAAACACGATAATATTTAAATCAAAGATAAAGATTATGGTGTTTTTCCTTTTCTTATAAAATTTAAATGATCAGTCAGATTTTTTTATATCAAATTCTATTTTATCATCGACTTCTCCTTGGGGCAATACTTAATAAAATCTGTATATATTTTAAACATAGGTAAAATCACAGGGAACATACCATTTTTATTTGACTTTTTAAAATCTAACTTTCAAATTTTTGTGGAATGAAGAGATACTTTTATGAACTGCCGTCTTTTTGGTTAGCAGCCGAATGCTTAACCACTGCTCCACCAGGGCTCCTTACAGTTTCTGTAAACTTCATTTTCAGTTCCTTCATGCTGATGTATTAAGATTTACTGAATCATTTCCCTACCCTTTGAAATTCAGCTTGTTTCCAGATACATTTAAAGTAATGTGGGTGATGCTGTGATTATCATCTCTCAAAAAGCTTTGGTTCTAATTATATCTCATTTCCTATGAATGCTATTATTGTCCTAGAAGTACCTCTCTCTCTCTGTTTTCATTTTGCTTTTCTAAATGACTACACCAGTTTGCAATTTTACCAGCCCACGCTGTGAGAGGTTTTACTTTCACTTTGCCACCGTTGAGAAATATTTCAAACATTCTTGCTAATTTAGCTGTATATAATGGTACCTCAAGTTTGCTTTAATTTCCGTATCTTGATTATTAGGGAGGATTAGTTTTTTTTAAAAAGTTTATTTACATTTTTATTTCCTCTTAGAACATCTCTCTTCTAAAAAGTGAAGACATTACTATTTTTATCTTTTTTTCCTGAGTTGTGTCTTTCTGCAATTCCAAGACCAGATTTTGGTCTTTGGTGATGAGCTAAGCCCTTACCCGGCGTTTCTAGGATGGCCGTTCTATTCTAGCCACTAGATAAGCAGCAGAGCCGTCTCTATCTAATGGAGCTTTTTATAGAAAACAGCTTTGTCCTGGCCCTTTCAGAAATAAAGAGGGATCACAGAGTTTTTTTCTTGGCACAGTGCATGAAGTAGGGGAGGGAAGCAAAAGTCGGTTTTCAAGCCAGATAGTTCTTCAGATTGTTCCTGGTTTTCAAGTCTGACTTCATCAGTCAGTTTCAGTGGAGTTCCAGAGGATCTTCACTTCTGAGATTTTAGGCTAAACGCTGCAAGCTCTTGGCCAGAACAGGCCAGAACGGGCCCAGAAATGTTTTGCCAGAAATTATCTTATCTCCAATTGTATTTTACTCTTTTTTCTTTTTAATTTATTTTTTTATTGTGCTTTAGATGAACTTTTACAGAGCAAATTAGTTTCTCATTAAGCAATTAATACACATATTGTTTTGTAACATTGGTTGCCAACCCCATGACCTGTCAACACTCTCCCCTTCTTGACCTTGGGTTCCCCATTACCAGCTTTCCTGTCCTCTCCTGCCTTCTCATCCTTAAACTCTGTTTTACTCTTGACTTCTGGGCGAAAAGGAGTAAATATGCTAAGATAGTGGTTTTCAAACAGTTTTCTGAAGAAAAGCTTTTCATATTTTTTGCAATTTCTGCCTTTTTTTGAAGGAAATTAGAGGATCTGGAACACTGGGCCTGCTGGCTTTGGTGGCAGCGATTGGCAGGAGCTGCATAGGGGTGCATACTTGAGAGAGGCATGCCTTTTCTGTTGGCCATAATCCCTGCCTTTCTCTGATACTGACACTACTTGCCTTTGCAACCCTTGCTTGAGCTCTAGACTTCTTCTAGAGCTTGAAATACCATAGTGCCCTCTAGTGGTATCTGTGGAGTTACCATGGGGCATAGAACCGGTTAGTACTGGTTTGAATCCCTGCTGAGAATTTGCATTTCTGATTGCGGGTAGGGACCAATTCTGAGAACCACTAGTAGAGCAGTGGTTCTCAAAATTTGTTGTACATAAGAATCACCTGGGAGTCTTGTTAAAATGTAGATTCTGATTCAGTATATCTGGGGTGGGAATGAACTGGTTTGAAGCCCTGGTTACATTTTTTGAGATGTCTCAGGAATTTACTCTTAAATCTAGAAATTGACTCAGCAAAGCAGATCTGCAAAAAAGGACAGAGTCTTACAGTTTAAGTTTTACCTGAGGGTTTTCTTTTATACACTGAAGTGTAGGGGGTTAGTTATATAATCAGTCTCTGTGTTCACAGTGAGTTCTCATTGCCTTTCCAGATGTGGCTACACCGTATTTGGGTATGCATGGAATTCGGCACCACCTCCAAATATGTCTTCTCATATCTCTGCCTAGGACACTGTCCCAGAAACAACTCTGGGTTTCCTATAGTTCACCAAGTTAAATATGAAAATAAACTAATTTAAAAAAAGGGAGGGGACGGCAATCACTGTAGGTTCTATATTTACCTTTGATCTTTACTTTATTCTGGAGTAAAGTGAGTGGAGTGGCATAAAGACACATTAGGCCATGTTTAAATTTCCTGGTATGTGACATTGGCCTGAAGTTGCTCTTACGCTGGGGTGCTGGCATCAGCAGACGGTTCACACCAGCTCAGTTTCCACTAACAAGAAGAGACTAAATAAGAAAACTCATCTTGTCACAAAGCAGCAAGTACTAGGTGGTCATTTCCTTCTGTATTTTTCTCTTGTCCACTTTGCTTAAAGGTAGAAAACAAGATTGTACAAACCTTACTGAGGCTAATGTTCAAGAATCTGTCCCAACTCTCCTGATAAAACCTGATGATATTATCTTAAAAGAGCCAGGGAGCTCAGAAAAGACGCTTCGGACACTTCTGAGACCAAGCGATAAGGTGTCTAATGAGTATAAGACTTCTTCTTCTGAGATCAATGCTGTCGTGGGAGCCGTTCCTTCTACTTGTGAGTATGTCACATAAACCTCTCCTGAGTTTTAAAAGGGTCAGTCAAGATAGAAACGAAGTGTCCCTTTCTACCCCTGCATTTACCTAAATTCTATCTCCATTAGACTGTAAGTTTCTCAAAATCTACAACCTTTCATTCATTTCTGTATCCCAAGAACCGAGGGGGTCTCAATAAATGTTTGCTGAACTGTGCTATTGTAATGATGGCCCAAGTGAAATGATTCTGTACATATTCATAAAATTGGAAACATCCTAGATCAGAAAATTGAGTTACATACATTGCAGTAATTCAGATCATCCTATCTTCTTAGTGTTAGGAGACTTTTAAGTCATGTGATTCTTATCTTCACACACATTTGCCTTCACATATTTGAAGAGCTCTTACAAAACAGTTCTTCATATCTTTATTTCCCATATCTCAATATCAGGCATCATGGATAATGGTTATTTAGAAAGACTTTGTTGATCAAGAACAATTCCTAAAGTAACAGTTTAGCCCAAAGAGTAAAGATTGTCACCCTTGAGTATTGCATTACCTTAAGAAAAAAAAATTACATAAGACCAAAAGGTCAATAGCTATTTTAAAGCATAGATAAGAAGGTTGGCCAGGGGCGGGGTGTGTGTGTATGTGTGTGTGTGTGTGTGGGTGGTGGTGGTGGTGGAGGCAGGGAGATTAAGTAAATGGAAGTGAAACAACTAGAACAGAAATTAAGGAGAATGTTAACACAATGTGAAGTATTGAACCAATGTCACTGATCAATATGTCTAGAAACTGTGGAATGGGAGCGGGTTTTCCTGTATATATTTTCACCAAAAAAAAAAAGAACAATTCCTAGGACTAAGGATGCAATTAAGAATTTATGTATTTCTCTTAGCTGGACTTTATAGACATGCAGTACATCCTGGTGCAGTGAGATCTTGCTGCTCCCTTTAGATGAGTGCTATCCGGTAGAAATATAATAGGGGTCACATATGTATTTTTAAATCTTCTAGTAACCATACTAAAAAAATTATGGAAACTAGTGAAATTACTTTTCAATAATATATTGTATTTAATTAACATATGCAAAATATTATTTTAATATGGAAGCAATATTAAAAGTGTTAATAGGTATTTTATTTCTTTTTTTTAATATGAAGTCTTCAAAATCTAATGTATATTTCACACGTTCAGCATATCTCAATTTGGACTAGCCATATTTCAAGTATTCAGTAGCCACATGTGGCTGGTGGCTACTGTATTGTACACTTCAGTTTTCAAAGGTCTGCCTTCTTCCCCCACTGATGACATAGGTTATCCTATCTATGGTGTCCCAACCATTCGGTCTGATATTCCTGCCCCCCGGATTCGTCGGGTCAGTGATAGAACTAATTATGGTGAAGAGGGCAATGCTTATTCATTACTACATCCTACCATCTTCAGCCAGAAAGGAGTGTTTGAAAGAGACTTCTTCAAGACCAGATCAAAAGAAGAGGTATGGCAGACTATTTCAAAAGATTTGGAAGAAATGTCAACTTCGCATAAATACACAAAGATGGAAATGTTTATTTATCAATGAGTACTATTTTAGACTTCTCAAAACTGGAGCCTCTGTATTATAAAAGTTATCAGGACCACCAAAATATAGGATTCTTGGTGAATACTGTTCTGTTTGGTTGGGACATTTGGGAACAATTCTTGAAGTAGAATTTACTCTATCACAGGTAGCCGTATTTCATGTCATATACTAATTATGGCCCATTATAAAAAGAAAAATGTTTTTCTAAACACTATTGTGTTAGCATCTCTAGAGAATCACAGCCAACGGTTTATATATATGTATGCAAGACACACACACACATGGAGGGTGGGGTGGGTAGCAGGAGAGAGAGAAACAGATATGGATTTATTTTAAATCATGCAATTGTAGGTCTGGAAAGTCCAAAATCTGTAGGCCGAGCAGCAGGCTAGAAACTCCAGCACACTTGAGTTCAAAATCTGTAGGCCAGGCAGGCTGGAAATTCCAGCAGGATATCTATGTTACAGTTTTGAGGGAGAATCCTTCTCTCTTCAAGAAACTTCAGTTTTTCCTCTTAAAGCCTTCAAGGATGAGGTTCAACCATATTATGGAGGGTAATCTGCTTTACTTAAAGTCAACTGATTGTAACTGTTAATCATATCTAAATACCTTCACAGCAATATCTAGACTAATGTTTAACCAAACAACTGGGCACCATGGCCTAGCCAAACTGGCACGTAAAATTAACCATCACATCTATTCTTAGTTAAGAAAAAGAAAAAAGGAGCAATTCCTTCCTTGAGGAAGTACCTTATGGCCTTGGGCCTCTAGAATGAACAGGTAAGCATGACGAGGGCCACTCTGCCACCCTCTATGTGTCCTGTTACCATGTGTCTCCGATTATCTGGGACAAGCATTGACTTAAAATATCTGTCCTATTGTCACACCGTATGTCAGCCCATGTGGGTTTTTGGGTTTTTTTTTGCACTTTCTGACTCAAAAAAACTTGGTCTCCATTTCCCACGTAATCTGCTTCCTAGATAGGTTACAATGTGGGAACATTCAGCTAGGTCAGAATATCTGCTGGGGTACTGAGGGCCAGGGATTCATAGCAGGCTTGGTCAGACCAGCCTGTCTGGATGTATACCATGAAAGGCAGGGTATGATCCGGGGAGCAACTGCTTCATCAGAACCAGCACTAGAAATGATGTGAAGAGACACACACAATGCCTTCTGGGACTTCAGATGAAGGGTTGATAGCTTGAAAAGATACTGAACATTAACCTAATTAATAATAGATTCATTTTAACAATTTATTTCTACTGAGGCGGGGGAGAGAGGAAGGGGAAACTCAAAAGGCAAAGCCTTCTGGCTGGCTGCAAAGAAGAAACCCAGGATCATCCCCAGAGGGTTAGAAAAGAGACCCCTCCCTGCAACCCCAGAGTGTGTTTTCACTTCCCTCTGTAATGCTTAAGGGCCTAGGAAGTAGAACTTCAGAGTTGCCCAAGAAGCAAAACTCTCCTGCTTACTGCATGATGCCTAACATTCCTTTAAGTAGAAGTCATCCTTTATCTCACAATTCTAGATAAAAACTAAGAACTCAAAGGCCTGGTTGGGGTAATAATGTTAACTTGAGAATGGATGGACTTCAGTAAAAGTATTAGCTGACCAGTCCCAGGAGCCCTGGTGGGGTAATGGTTAAGAGCCTGGCGGCTAACTGAAAGGTCAGCAGTTCAAATCCACCAGCTGCTCCTTGGAAAACACTATGAAGCAGTTCTGCTCTACCCTAAAAGGTTGCTATGACTTGAAATTGACTCGACGGCAACAGGCTTAATCAGTTCCTGGCAATAAACTACCAACAGGATACTGACAGGAGAGGATGTCTACTGACAAGTTAGAAAGGAAGCAGGGCTGGGATGCTCAAGACTGTCTGGGACCACACTTTGTGCATTCACTCTGAGGGGTGTTGTCTTAGTCTCCTAGTGCTGCTGTAACACAAATACCACAAACGGGTGGATTTAAAGAACAGAAATTTATTTTCTCACAGTTCTAGAGGCTAGAAGTCTAAATTCCTTGTTGGTGACCCTGGGCGTTCCTTGGTTCCTTGGCATTCCTTGGCTTGTGGATGATCCTCACATGGTGTGTGTCTTCCCGTGTGTGTGTGTGTGTGTGTGTGTGTGTGTGTGTGTATGTATTCTGGTCTTTTTATAACTCACAATTGATTAGGATTAGGATCTGCCCTACAATAGTATACCTTATTAACATAACAAAAGAAAACCCCTTTTCCCAAACAGGATTGCATCCACAGGTACAAGGACCAGGAATTCAGCATATGTTTTTGGAGGACACAATTCAATCCATACAGAGTTTTTTTTCACCTAAGTCTCAGGGGGGAGAAAAATAGGAGTTTTCATAGGGACACTGAGGTGCTTTTTTGCTGTATAGCTACAGGTTCCTGGCAATTCTGCTCTTCTGAATGTCAGGTGTATTTGCCTACACTAGTAACTTCCCACAAGGACACATCATTTCTAGGGGATCTTTTAATTATTGTTGAGGTTCTGTTTAATTTTTCTGCCACTATTCTTTTACTTTGGCTTTCCTACTCACTGTCTAACCTTTATTTTCATTTCCCTCTTTGTTTTTTTCTGAATGTTTCACAGTAAATGTTTTTCTTCTTTTAAATTTAATTTCTGCTTTTGTTGTTTTGTTTTTACATCTTTTATTCTCTTTCTAATCTTTCTTCTCACCACTAGTTGTTATATTTGTCCCTTCCTTGATCTCTTTTAATAGTCATGACTTGGTAAACAAAGTTTGCTGGTTTTTGTTTTGCTCAGTTGCTCGTGTGTGTGCACTTTCTCTCTGGCATTTGCACATCCACAATTATAAAGTTTACAACAGTCAAGTTAGATCCATTTTGAAAATATTCCTATTTTAAAACAGGAAAATATTATTCAGGGACTTAAGTGACATACACAAGATCATAGTGACAATGAGTGACAGACGCAAATCCAGCAAGTCTTCTGTCTAATTCTTTTACTCTTTCTGTTTGAATCTTGCTGCCTCTCTTTAAAATAACTAGAAATTCTTAGAGTTGAGAGTAATTTTATATGTTGGCTGGGATAGTTGAAAACCCTCATATTCATATTAACAAAATGGTCCCTCAGTAGAAAGTAGTGGAATTGTGATATTTGCTCATCACACACACACCCACACCCTTTTGAAAACTTTTTCTGGATAAATATCCATAATCTGAGATGTTCTAACTATGTATTTTTAAATACAAATTTTAAAACATACAAATCTTAATCTGACTTTAAGTGTTTTTTCCTAGATTGCACAGATATTATGTAACATTGGTATCAAGCTTTCTGATGAAGAATTTGAAAATGTATGGAATCTTGCATCAAAAAAACATCAGAGTGGAGAAGTCTGTGTAGAGAGCATCAGAAATGTTCTAGATGAGCTGCAGCATGCAGACCGAATCAAGTGTAAAACAACCATGTGATATTTTTGGAGTTCATTCATTTAAATAAAAGAATTGCTAAATTTGTATACCTACTGTTCATCTAAAATATTCAAATCTATCCTGACTTTAGGTATTATATTATCATTCTGCAGTCACTGTGGTAGAACTTATATGCCTATATGTGTTGCTAATAAATTGTATTAGCTAATGGATTTTAGATTTTAAAATGTATTTTATTGTCTTCTATAAAGTACGAAAGAACTTGACAAGCACTTGGAGAGTTAAACTCCATCCTCACCAAAGATTCAGACAGACAGAGATTCGGTAACATTTAGTAGGCCTGAGAATTCTTTCCATTTTAGTTGGTTGTCTGAAATCAAAGTCTGGTTTATGATTCCAAGTTCACAAAATTTTGCCTTCAACATTTCTCTTTAGGCTTTTCTATGACAAGAGTTCGATTTAGAGGGCTTTTAGTCTCTATTAGCATCTGAGGAAAACAAACTTAATCAAAAGGAGCAGAATTTAGAGAGCAAAAACTTGAATTCTAACAAATCACATAATGGCCATTAATTCTTAATGTATTTTCTATGCCCCCAAAAAACATGTTGTTCTTGATGTATCTGAAGAGGACAAAGCTGACCCACCATTAGATGTAGCTTTAGTGGGTTATTAGTAGCAAACTGTGCTGAGTCATTCTCTTCCCTCCTGCCGTGGCTCTTTGATGTACAAATTTGATGCCCTGTCTAGGAGGGAGCAGGGATGGTGGTGGGTGGGGTGCGTGATCTCAGGACATACATAGTGTTCTTTCTACAAAGCAAGTGAGTATCTGTGTGGGTTGAATCCATGACTTTAGTAGTATAACTTAATTGAGTGAATGATCAATAACGTGTGTTCTATCAATATTTCTGTGATAGACCTTAACCAGCTTGTTGTCTATTAGTATGAAAAGATACTGTTTGACTTAGATACTGCAGTTGTACTATAGTCTACTGTTACTTTAAAAAAAGAGAGACCTAAGGTTTAAAAAAAATTGATTTATTTATCCAATCTCTAGAAAAAATAATTTTGTAATAAATTTATTATATAAAGTAATAATGTTAAAATCTTAACCTTTTATTTTGAAATAATTTGACTTACAGATTTTCCACAGTAGGACAAAGAATTGTACAGTGGTATGCTGGAGCCCCATGGGTGACGCAGTGGTTAAGTGCTCAGCTGCTAACCAAAATGTTGGTGGTTCAAACCCACCAGCGACTCCGCAGGGGAAAGATGTGGCAGACTGCTTCTGTAAAGATTTACAGCCTTGGAAACCTTATGGGGCAATTCTACTCTGTCCTATAGGATCACTGCTGAGTTGGAATCGACTTGATGGCAATGGATTTTGGATGGGTGTCCAAGCCTGCTCTTGACGGGTCATGAAAGCTAATTGTGAACATCTCTTCCTAGCACTGTGTTCAGCAAACACACTGGTAGCTTGAAATTGGCCATGGTGGGAGTATTTACATAAGGAAACCAGCAAATGCTACAAATCTGGGATTTTTTTTCCCCCAGAGAGCCAGCTGTTAGACATTTTCCAGCACTCAAATGGATGTATGTATCCACTTATCCACCTATCCACGTGGTTATTTGCAGTTAGCCATTTTCCTGAACACAAAGAATGGAGAGGGGTAGATTTATTAACCATTGCTGTTTACCAGGATCATGGGTTTCAGATAAAATTCAACATTGTCACCCAAGGGAGCATTACGTTGGTACCAGGGGAGTAGACTTAGGAAGATTGGACAGGTTGCCCTGATCAATCAGAATCAAAATGCTTGTTAACCAAACTTTGGTTAAGCTTCTCTCCTTCCCCCAGGACCCTGAACTTTGGCCCATCCTCAGCCTTAGCCAGCTTGCAGTCCTTAAGGGCCCTTCCCTGAGAATGGCTGTATGCTGGTCTTGGTGTAAAACATTCCCTACACCTGGTTTTGGTTTTTTAGCTTTATTTGCTTTTTTTCTATAAAAGAAACAATAGCATTCCCCGTATTTAATAGTCCTTGTCCTCACTATTGCAACAGCTCCTTTCCCTTTTGCATTTTCTTTCAAAATAAAGCCTCTCCCTATCTAAGCCCAGATTTATTTTTTATTTGACATGGGTATCCTCCTCATATCACTGGCAGGCCATCTAGAATTTTGCCTGTGGTAGGAGCCCTGGTGGTGTAAACGGTTAAGTGTTTGGTTGCTTACTGAAAGGCTGTTAGTTCGAATCTACCCAGCACCTCCGCAGGAGAAAGATCTGATGATCTAGTTCCATAAAGATTACAGCCTAGAAAACCCTATAGGGCTGTTCTACTCTGTCACATGGGGTATCTAGGAGTTGAAAAACGACTCTGCAGGCACCAAACAACAACAGACTGTCAAATGGGTTAGATAGTATATTTTCAACTTCAGGGTTACTCTGTTTCCATAGATGAAAGTTAATTCCCTACCCTATTTCTCATCCCAAATTATATCCAGATATTTTGTCCAACATATTGTAGAGGGGTTCTTCAATAAGAACAAATGATAGCATTAAGATACTCCAGTAATAAAATTCCAATACTGAGCTGCTCCAAATTTGAATATAAACTTCCTAGTGTCAAATTTGAGGGAGCCCTGGTAGTGCAATGGTCAAGCACTTGGCTGCTAACCAAAAGGTTAGCAGTTTGAACCCACCAGCCACTCTGTGGAAGAAAAAACCTGGCGATCTACTCCCATAAAGATTACGGCCTAGGAAACTTTGTAGGGCAGTTCTACTCTGTCTTATAGGGTCACTATGAGTTGGAATTGACTCAATGGCACACAACGTCATTGACATGTCAAATTCACAGGGAGAAGCTAAAACCAAATGTTAAATCACCTTGCAAGTTAAAATCTAAGGAATTCAAGACGGAAATCAAGTTCTACTGTCCAGTGAGTTAAAAATACAAAGAAATTGATTTCCCCTTTTCTGTTTGTGCTGTTTCAGCCAAGGGATTCTAAAGGCCTGGGGAGAGGTATGGTTCTTTTAGCAGCTGTGCCCTGGGCTGCCTCTCACCGGGAAGACAGCAGCTCCTTTGCTGCTCCCGAAGTCATGTTCACTTAACTCCAAGCCTCGGATGACCTCAATTTTAGAAGGTCAAAGACTTATCAAGACATACAAGAGCTCATAGCATCCACCAAATTTAGGGAATAAGACAATCCTCATCCCCAAGAGCAGTTAACCCAGTAAAAACTGTGTTTCCAGAATCAAGTATGTACTGTTGCCAAAGGCCATAGCAGAGACCCCCTGGAATCTGAGTAAAAGAGATAGATGGAGAAAATGTTCATTTCAGCGTTATCAAGATGCTGGTCAGTATATATGAGTTACCAGAGTTCATGACCTATGAACTTAAACTGATTTGGGGAGAAATGAGATGAATTTTGGCACTTCAGGTGTATATATATTTATATATCTGGGCTAAAAATCCACTTAAGCATGCTGTCTCCTTTTTTACAGAGTGGCATTTGAGACATTAATTTCCTTCTTGCAAAGCTGAGAAATTTACGACAGCAGCCCAGTCACCACTTTTTATTATGAAGTGTCTTTCCTATGCAGCGTAGGAAAACTTTGGACTTCGTTTTCCCTTTCAGCCTCTAGGGACTGGATTGAGAGCTGGCTCTTCCCAGAGCCTAAGGTCAGTGTTCTCTTGTGAGTGGGTGCCTTCAATTCTATGCCCGGGGGTTGTTTCCATTGATTGCTTCTTGTTTTGGAATTGTTTAGGCTTCAGAAACCTACCTCCTGCAAGGTTTCTTTTTCCTCTGAATTAAACCATCTAGAGTCAAAGTAAGGAACTCTGCTAGCGCAATGGTTAAGCGCTCAGCTGCTAACTGTAAAGTCAACCTCTCCATGGTAGGAAAGATATGGCGATCTGCTCCTGTAAGTACTACAGCCTAGGAAACTCTTTGGGGCAGTTCTACTCTTTCAGAATCAACCGTTCGGCACACAACAGCAACAACAGAGTGAAAGTAGTACCTGGGTGACGCAAACCGTTAAGTGCTCAACTGCTAATGGAAAGATTGGTAGTTCAAGCCCACCCAGAGGCACCTCGGAATACAGGCCTGGCGATCTGCTTCCAAAAGTTCACAGCACGGAAAACCCTATGGAGCAGTTCTACTCTGCACATACGGGGTCCACCATGAGTCAACTGACTGGACAACAGCGCTCAAAGTGGAACATGTGGTGGGGGTGATCCTTGAGCCACGTGAATCCAGGTTAAGCTGATGGATGATTGACTCCCTGCCCTGAATGCAGGGTGGCTTTGGAGCAATGGACTTAGTGCTGTCTCTCTGAGCGGGTCCTGTTTAAAACTAGAGCTTCTCTACCACACTCTGTAGGGTGTCTGAACTGACTTACAGTTTAAAAGCAGCATACATTTTCTCACACCCTAATGTCGCAAAGGTTCATATACATGGAAAGAGTCTCTTTTCTGTTAATCGAATCCCTTGCCTCAAGTGTTCTTACTGGGTCCCTGTGGACTGCTGTTACTCGAGGTCACTGCCACCCACAGAATATGCTTAGTGTTCTACCTGAGGCCACCTTCACTCCTTGTGGCTTTGCCAAGGCCCAAATGCCTTTGTAAAGGTTGCCTTTCCTAATGTCTGAGCAGCTGGAAACTTCCAGTTTACCTTTAATTAAGGCTGGCATCTCTGCTGTTTGCCTGATGTCTTTCACATGTGGAGTCCTGTCACTAATGAAGTAGCCATCAGCCTGCGGACCAAGCTGCCAAAAACTGCAGTCACTCTGGAGCAGGCCTCAGCAAAAAGCCAATGGCCCAGCTGTGAAAACCAGCTGCATTGTACCACGTAGACCACCAAATGGCTTCTGTAAGGTACCTGATGCTCAGGATGCTGTAAGGTACATGATAGTAGATGTTTTCTTTATGCAAGAATATGAACATCTTGTGCTTTGCATTTCTGACCTTGGGCTCTATTAGTAAACTAATGGAGAGCTGTAATCTCAATCAGTTTTCATGCCTTCATTGATTTCTAGTTCATCATTT